GGGGGGAGAAAAAAGGCATTTTCACTTCAGTTTCCAACATGAGTTACAATTTGAATCTGAAGTAGGTATTTAATTCCAATACTTTTAAAGAAAAAACAGAGAATAGAGAAGCTTTATTATGCTGCTTGCTGCATCTTCCTGTTACTACTACAGAAAAAATTATCTATGTATGTTGTATAGCATAGCATCCCATAAAGCTCCTCACTCATTTCATCCCACATCTGCCTTATCAGAGGAAGAAGCAATACAGAAGCAATTATAGGATATTTCCATTGTCACTAAAGCAATCACTATGCAACTCAATTTCCACAGCAGTTTTGAAGAACGCATTTTCCCCAGGGACACGATGAACATGGGCCACGAAGCCTTCCTACAAGGCAGAGAATTTGTGCCCTTGTACTCTAGCAATTATACCTGAATTATTTGTCTCCCTTCTTAAACCCTCACAGTCTAACAGAGGCGAGGGATTATTTTAATATATCAGTGGCCTATTTGAAGTGATACGGATTTTGGAGAAGAACATAGGCAAAGTTCAGTGCCATCCTCTAACAAGGTTCCCAAGTATCAGCTGTAGCCAATTTCCTACTCCATCCTCTCCCTGCAAACTCCTCTTTTTTAGAATGAAAAAAAAAAAATTTTTGAGAACCAATCTATCACCTTCCCCCCAAGCAACTTGAGCACAGCAGTTTTTCATTTTGGTTCTGAACTAATGGACAGAAAATACTTCACAAATAAACATGTATATTTTTAGAGCTCCACACTGCATACTGTCACAGGTTTTACCACAGACAGAAATAAGCAACAATGAAATACTAAAAATATTCGTTCTAAACACCTTTGCCATTCTGCAGGTTGGTTCATTTTGCAAATGAGTGTACTTACACTGAATGCCTTGATATTAACATAATAAAGCAATGCTACAAAATGCTTACAAAGCAGTAAACTTACCATTTGAGGTACCCCAAAAACAACAACATTTGTATAGCTGGAAAAAGAAACCTAAAAGAAAATTTGCAAAGTCTTAATTAAAGTGACACTTATATTTGGGTAAGTTCTCACTATTCTTTTTCTCTAATCCCTGTAGCTGCACTCCTTTCAATACAAATTTATACCAAAACTAAGAAAGGAGATCCCATACCAACTTTGCATCACACGTTTCCACATAAATGCAGCTTTATATTACTGAACGGCAAAAACTTCTACTGCTTGACCAAGACTATGGTACAAACTCCAGCAGCACAAAAAATATCCATTTAGAAAATACCCACATGATTTTACTCATGGCTAAGTTTTTGCACAACTCCTACATATGTTAAAATGAGGTATGTTATAAGCTAGCCCCAAATCTTGTTAAACTTTAGTTAGCTATAAAAACTTCCCAGGCATTCCAACACTTGGGTTCTTCCAGTCAGTGCCCTGAAGTTTTCCTATGCTTGTCTCCGAACAAAGATAAAACCAGTACATTCATACTTTTCTCCCAAATTCCTAGTATCCACTTTACCCATTACAAAAATAAATCTCAGTTGCATGTAAGTTACCTTAAAGCAACATTCAAAACCAGGTAACACATTGCACAGGTAGAAAAGATCACCTATCTCATGAAATGTCATATGAGATTGCGATCTTGCACATTAGGTGAATAGGAGTCCTGTTACTGACTCCAGAGAATCGGCTCTCAGCAAAGCCTGACCTTACAGCACCCCGCATCATTCAACAGGCACAAGGATGACACAGTGTGCTCCAGGAGCCTGTACTGAAAAAGGACAGTACTTCACCCAAGCACAAAACCACCACAGCAGTGTACTGTGCTGTCAGTCTGGTTTCTGTGGGCTCAAGTACTTTTCTCAAAGCCCAATAAAGCACCTTGTGGCCAGTCAGCATTGTGGTTCTTTCACAAAATATCTTCAAAATATGGAAAACAACTCTCAAACATCCCAGATTCATTCTTCCATACTTCACCACCTACCTTCCATAAGTCTGAAATATAAAATTTGGTGTTCTGATGTACCCCATCTCTCCAGGCACGGTATCTGGAGTACCAAACTAGCCAGGGATTTAATTCATAACCAACAGCTTTGAATCCCCTTTTTGCAGCTGCTATCACCTACAAGAAAGAAAATAAATCTTCACTTAGAAACAGAGAAAGCATATTTGTCTAAACAGGAGCACATAGTTTTCATTACACTATAAATCAAAGGAATGCACTTTTGTAAATCACTTAGGTTTTAATCCCCAAGAGATTAGCAGTATAGTGAACAAAGACTCAAACTACACTCTACTATTATGACTAGTCCCATTGAAATGAGTAGATACATTCAGACTAACAAAGCGAGCCACTTAAACATTCACAGGGCAAAGCTGTAAGCTTGTAGTACGTCTGTGATTTACATAAAAGTTTAATTTAACATACTTATGACACTACATTGGAACTAAAGAATACCAAAATGGACCACAGAGAGAACAGCAGAAATGCTCAAAATTAGAGCACTTAACTTATTTGAAAAGCAGTGATTGGTAGGCACTTGAGAAACCCCTGAATCAGAGCCAAATTGACCTACCAATAGAAAGAGTACGTAAGTAAACCATTGACCTACCTTTAAAAAAAAGCTGTTGGTCAAAAATTTAAATGTAGGTTAAAAATTTGACCAAAAAAACCCCACAAATAAATCTCACAGTATAGCTTTCAACCAATGCTAGGCTTCATACATCATTGTAAAAGGCAAAAGGTAATTCAGATAATAAATAGATTTTCAAAGACACTGCTCTAAATTAGACCCTAAGATTTAGAATTGTTAAACTGTATAGCAAGTGTCTTCAACAAAGATCAAAGTCTACTGATTTTTTTTTGGGGGGGGGGGGAGGGGGGAATACAAAAAGGCACCAGATTCTAGAATTAATTTTTAAGCCATCATTTAAAAGGTTACTGCAAAGTTTAGATCGGGAAAAGCCTGATGAACTATGAATTACAGAACAGGCAAGGTGAAATCAAGAAGTAGTACACATTTCTTAATAGGCCTTCTTGAACAGCATTATCTGGACAGTATGTTCCACACTATTACAGTAATTCATCTTCCATCATGCACCCAGCATTTGCAAATACACTACAAGACTCTGACATTTTTAACATGCTTGGAAAAAAAAAATGGTCATATTCATCCATTGATTACACCCAAGCAAGTCCTAATATTTACATCATCTGAACAGAAGCTCAACTTTTTTCAGGACAGATGCATTAAGGCAACACCAAGCATTCAGTTTTAGGCACCTTGCTCTCCAAGTAGTCTTCAGTCCCTCTCTCTACATATATATATATAAAAGTATGTCATACATATAAATAAAATAACAATTAAACATACAGTACCTAGTCAAATTAGGTGCCTCATATGAGGGTCGACACCCAGAATGCTGAGCAGAGAGGGCACCACAAACTGCAGCTCTCTCATACCTACATGCTTTTCTCCATTTCCTACTCGGGCACAATTCCTTCTAAGCCACCATCACAGAGTTGGATTTCCAAATCAAATTTTTTAGTGTGGACAAACAGTTGACTCATTCACGTGAAATACGGACAAAGACAGCATTCAAGAACGTACTTGTTCCCATCAAAGACCCACTTAGCATGCCATCCTGTTGCTAAAGCTGACTTAAAGCAGATGGTTAGGAAATGGTACACAAAGCATCACGACGACAAAAGAACCCCAGACTATTCTCCACTATACCCTCACCGCCACATTTCACAAATTTAGAGTTTAGATAATGTCCTGGAGGTGCAGTATAACTTTGGCTTTGGGGATTCTCACCATTTCTCTTTGTAACTATTCTAGTTTCACCATACTGAAGTGGGCCAGCACTGCACAAAGTTGTGAAGACTACAGTTCTAACAGTACTAGATTTTTACTTTTGCTATTCATTCACTCATTTCTCTTTCTCTTTTATTCTTCTATCACCTTTACACAATAAACACAGAGCTGCAGCTCCAAAAGCACAGTGTTATTTAATTTCACAGCCTCACATGTTGCAGCTATAAACCTATGTGGAATCACAGCTCTTTGGGAATCACACCACCAAAACTTTGATCACATCTTCTCATGTGAATGCAGCACAGTCCCCTGCAGTCAACAGGATGAGGTTATCATTTTGTACACTACCCTGTCAAGTTGAAGCTAAGACTGGAGCAAAAATACTGATTACTCACATAAACTGAATATAAACGTTTTTCAGCTTTGCATAAGGCTTGAACAAAAAAACCTGGATGTCAAAGACAAGACATTCATAAATATGAGAAAACGGCAGCAGCTAGAGCATTCAGCACTTTTTTGAGAGGTGACATAAAAGGCAGGCAATGTCTATAACTTACAATGCGGCCATCCCCACTACCAATGTCAACTAGGGAGCCGCTTCTGTTTTCTAGCATTTTCAGCACATTCTGGATCTGAGTGGCAGTTGCAGGAACAAAGGGCAGGCACACTTTCCTCAGAGCTGGGATTACGAAGGGGGTAACCACAGCATATAGGGCCACCAAGGTCCCACCAACACCAGCAGTCACCAACAGCCCCCAGTTCCTTCTTCTGGAGTCAGCCTTGCAATTCACTTGTGGGCCTGCTGCCTTGGACATCACAGCTAGAGACAGACATCAAAAAGTATTTTCTCTTTATTATATGCTCACTTAAGACAAAGCAGTGTGGTCTGTAAGACAGGGAGCAGCCCGCAGCTCCTCCCTGCCAGCCGGGCTGCAGCGCTCCCGGAACAGCTC